AGTTATCCATTAATTTCAACATAATTGACACTGATTCGCTGAATGGTCAAGAACTAGTTTTTGACTAAACCTATAGAATTTAAGTGTTTGCGATATGATGAATTTTTGGTTTAGTGAGCTACCTTCTATTGTTTTACAATAAATCGTTTTTGCTTTCAAAAAAATTTAATAATTTTAATACAGATCATTATTAGAATTCGTTTTTATATTATAATTTCCGTTAATAGGTAGAGGTGGCTCACTGAAATGAATTAGTTTGTAAGAAAAAAATTTTTTTTGTAATTACAACGTCATACTGTCTCTGAGAATGGCTCAAAAGTGAGCCGAAACATGTAAGCGGATTAATTATTAATAAAGTTGTTTTGTTAACCGTTTGATTTACACAAGAATTACGGTACTTGACTCCTATTATCGTGTTGTATCCAACCATTTTGCATTAAAATTGAAAAATGTAGATTTCGTTTAAAAAAAAAAAGAATACAAAACTAATAATTTATTATTCTTTAAGGGCAGAATGGCGAGTTGGCATTATCAAAGCTCAGGCACAAAACTGGGCTCGCGAGCTCTCGGACACGCCCGCGAACCTGATGACACCAACAATATTTTCGCAACGGGTCTTTGAGGTTTTGACGCATCTCGGAGTTGACGTACAGGTGCATGACAAAAGCTGGGCCGAGCAGAAGAAGATGGGCTCGTTCCTTAGTGTGGCGCGCGGTAGCATCGAACCACCCAAGTTCCTCGAGATCAGTTACAAGGGCGCCGAGAATCCGAATGAGTCACCAATGACGTTTGTTGGCAAGGGAGTCACTTTCGATGCCGGTGGCATCAGCCTTAAGGTAAGCCGGTCTTTCTCTATTTCTAGAAATAATTAACGAGAAAATGAGATTTAAAGATAAACGATTGCTCGCAGCCGTCATCGGAGATGGATGAGATGCGCGCAGATATGAGCGGCGCCGCCTGTGTGGCCGCTACCATCCGAGCCGCAGCGGAACTCAAACTGAAGAAAAATATCGTCGGATTGATCCCGCTCACGGAGAATCTACCGTCCGGACATGCTACGAAACCGGGAGATCTAGTGCGGGCGATGAACGGCAAGACCATCATTGTGGACAACACCGATGCAGAGGGCAGGTTGATTCTCGCCGATGCGCTGTGCTACGCTGAACAGTTTAATCCAAGGTTTGCTTGAAACTAAATTGTATTGATCTTGATATTTAGAATTAGTATAAGAGAACTGTATCTCTTGGATCTTAATTTTAGCAAAAAGATATTTCCTATGTTATTAATATGTTATCGTATCATATTTTATCAATATCTTTGGCAGAGAAATTATCGAAAACAATTATAAATAGATAAGTGTCTTCAATTTAAATATAGATTTATCTTGGATATCGCTACATTGACTGGTGCCATGAGAATCGCCTTGTCGAATTCCGCGACTGGAGTATTTACTAATGATGGCAATCTTTACGAAACTCTGAGAAATGCTGGCACGGTAACCGGCGATCGAGTATGGAGATTCCCTCTGTGGCAGCATTTCACGGATGAAGTAACAAGTGAGTGATTCAAAGAATTTATGCACGCGTTACGTTATCTATTTTATAATTCTATTTTAGAAACTTCTTTCTTTATATATTCATTCTTTATTATCTCCGGATCACTGTCCCGTTATTAAATGTCCCGATAATTTTCAGAAAAAGTCAAAGGTGCTGATATAAATAACATCGCGAAGTGCAAGGGTGGTGGCTCTTGTACTGCCGCTGCATTTTTGAGGGAGTTTGTCACCAAGGATACGCCGTGGATGCATCTGGACATAGCTGGTGTCATGGGTCCTGCCCACGACGAATTACCGTATATCCCGGCTGGAATGACCGGGCGTCCGACACGTACGCTTATACAATTCCTACAAGCGCTCTGTTAAACAGTCTGCAGGTGGTCATTTTACGTAACTCTCACACGTCAAACGTGTCCTTGTAATTTTATATACATATATGTAAAAGTTTACACAGAAGGATATGTATATAGAAATATACATATATATAAGTATATATAGGGGAATTACGCCTAATATGGAGAGGATTATGTTGGGCGATCCATTCAATCAGACTCGAAGTAATAAGGTTCAAAATGATAAAGTGATAAAACGCATAAACAACTTGCCGCAGGCCAGTAACAGCATTTTTTAAATCTAATATCTTACTAGATAGATAAAACCAGACTCATTGGTCAGGTTTCTACGAGAGTTTAAGATTAAGAATAATGCAAGTTGAATGTGTGTGCTTTAACGCGGTTTGAAAATTATCTTTAGTATCAACAGTCTGAATATTAAATAAGCTGGAACTTGAACGTTTTAATAAAATTTACGATGCAATAACGAATGCTAGCAAAGTAATTTCTGCATGATGTGAAACTTTGCCATTACTATAAGAATATTAGAAAACAATATTAAGTTCGTTAATCAAGGTTATATGTATATATAATTCTTGATATATTTGATACATCATATATGATATATCTCGAATAATTATCTAATAGTTTCTATCTGATAGATTGTTATCGAAATACTCGACGATTACACGCAATCCTTTGAATCAAAATTATTAAACCTCGCCATATTAGGCAGTGCCTACATCTTTTAAGTTACCACTTCTTATACGATTAAAATATATAACCCGTAAAAGTAATGTATACATGCAGTGGAAAAGAAATGAAATAGAATACTTAATCATTTACATATGAAAGCTGCTCATTTTAAAAACAATTTTAACATTTGTCAAAGACGTCTCCAGACACATTCTGTGTGTGTATCATGTAATAATTTAATAATTATATATTCGTTGCATTTTAACACATACGAATGTTTGTAAAACTTATCAAGTTGTTTCTATTAGTAAACTAAAAAAATATATAGCTTCGAACCTTTTTCTAAATCACAATACTGGATTTTCCATCCCATTTAAAAGAAACATCCGGAAAAAGGATTTTTTGTCTATTAGACACTATTCCCCTATATAAAATATCAGTTTCCATTACAAATTGAAACTGATCATCGCATTTTATATATGCGATTATCACGTTTAATTATAAAACAGTTTTGAAAATAAGTTTTGTACAACTCTTTTACAATTTTGTACAGTCGAATTGCTTTCGTATGTTAAAGCTGACAACGAGCTTTTCTTTTGATAAATATTCTCGAAGACCTTATTATAATCAGGATTTTAAACTAGTTGAAATAGTGAAAATAAGGAAGCGTGCTCTGTATATGTATATAATTAACATTTGTATTAACTACATGTATACTACAGTGCATACAATATAATATTGTACAGGATGAAAGAGTTGCATATGTTGTATATGAATACATCAGATTTTAAAAATAGCGAGTAATATAAGCATTTTCTGTCCTGGACTTGTAAAAGACGATATATAAAAATTGTCTATTAATAGGAAAAATAGATTTGTTTTTATATTATCATATTAAAGCGACAATTCATATATAAAATATTTCTTTTGGTTATCACATTACCTAAAAAACACGCATAAAATTGCTACCTTGTACAATGTTTTCAGTACATATCTACATTGTAACTATATAAACATAAATAATTACAAATAAAACTAATATTTTTTAAATAATTTTCAAAATTGTTTTAATTATGCATAAATATTAACTTTTTATTTAAACTAAAATTTGATTATTCTACAATGTATCCCGATATAAAATTATTATTGTACTTTGTGTATTCATAGGACACATCGCGTAGGTTCTTATAAGTACTATAATGGTACATAATATAAATTATTAATCAAATAACTAAAAATAACATACAAAAAAACTAAAAAAGTCAATAAAAAGACAACAAAACATTTAAGATTTTTTTTTAAATCTTGATTACGTCTTAAGATTCGTTTTACATGTATTAATGCTATCTAATGCTATCTAATAACTGTACTTTACGGTTACAGACACACGGAGTGTGTTATACTTTGAAGAATTTATGTAAACATGGATAAAAATTTTGAGTTTGTACGTAAATGTTCAAGACAGAGATGCTTATATTAATGCGATCAACAAACGTAATATTCATATTATATATTTGATTTTGCACGGTACACTAGTACATTTTATTGATATCGCACGAACAGTACATTTGATAGGTGTCCAAAGGCACTGTAGAAGCGATGAACGCAGTTTATTATAAAAGTGTCGGCGGTCTCAGAGAATATAAACTAACGATATAGTATAAATAAATAGGAAGATATCCTTATCCTTATCCTTAACGTACGAGTTAAAGTATCATGTTGTTCACATCTTACATAATCTCGTTATTATATACAATTTATTGCCGCTTCAGTTGCAACGTATTATCATACTTTTGTCACTCTACGTCGCAATTTTATATTTTCCACGTAAGCTCACCCCCGTCTTACGATTTCTACGACTAGTACAAAGAATACAAAATCTGTCTTTCGCGTACAGAACAGTTTCAGGAGGAGTGCGAAAGAATGTTCATATAGTAACGTCAATCCAAAGCTGAATCACAATAAAACTGGCACTGTTAAAACGCGTTTACCATGTAGACCTCAGTAAGCTCGTAAATTATATGATATTTGTATGCATTGTTGTGTCTATTTCCACAATATATAATAACAGTAACGCATATCAACTGCACTTTAATTATCAGCATTGTCATCACTATCATCACCATTGATACAGTACATTCAAATCAACAATCCGACATTGAACACAACCTCATAACAACCTAAATGTGCTTGAACCTTGGAAGTACAAAACATAGTCTCTCTCTCTCTTCCAGAAGAAGAAACTAAAAATGCCAC